GGAGCTCTTGGAATGAAGAGGGTGACATCACAAGATAGTCCCACCCAGCTCCCCAACAAGACAAGGAACAATTGCAGTCACTGTCCTGACACCTCCCAGTTCGGGGGCCCTGATCATTAACACCTGCATAAGGGGCAGGAAAGAGAAATGAAGATGCCCGGGAGCCGCACGGAGGAGCAGAGCCCCTGCTCATAGGACTGCCAGGAAGGCATCAGCTGCCAGCAAGCGAGGGGAGGCGGGATTCCTGAGCAGCAAACACAGCACCACCAGAACCCACGACACCATCAAGCGCTACGCCAACAGTGAAGACGCGGTTTAAAACCACACACGGGTGAAACAGACGCCAGCGTGGCCGCCCGTCTTTCCCAGGGAGGCCACCGCATGGTGTCTGGCCGCACAGCAAGGGAGGTAGGGAGCAGGACAGATATTCTCGGGCCCAGAAAATTATTTGCGAATGTTTTGGTAACAACTTCAGGGCTGATCTAAAAGCCTCCCCCCTCCTCATCCCCTTCCTAGCTCCGCTCTGGGCAAGCTTATGGCACTTTCTGGAAAGAATGATCCTTGAGGGCCCAAAGTGTGGCGGAAGGAGCAGTGACTTCTGTGCAGCTCCTTGTCAAATTCGGGCTGTACTTCAGCTCCAGCCCTGCGGCCTTACAATGCAGTGCCCTTGAATTTGCTGTTAGAATGGGAGGGCAGGCGGAAGCTGTGAACAGGAGGAACTGATGTACATCCTCCCCTTTACGGCACCAAAGCACACAATCCCAGGGTCATGGGCATTTTTACAGAGAGAGAACCTTTTAGTTTGGCCTTGAGAGCAACATGCAGGTGCATTAAGCTGGAAAAGGTAAGAAAGGTGGTCTTATCTGGATAAAAATGCTCACCCACTCGAGTTTATGGGTTGGCTGAATTGGAATGGATACACCTCACATTTCTCCCAGGCACGCTGCTGCTACTTGCAACCGATGGTCACTAAGGCCTTTAGCCCCCCCGAGTCTTAGAAACAGAGGCAAAGGCAAGAATCATTCTGCTTTCTCGCTCAGAGCTCAAGGGAAGTGTCAAACACAACTGAGCGCCCTAGCGATTTCCACCCCAGAGGGCCAACTAGTTAGTCAGTCACAGAGCTGTGGGCCACTGGGACACGTATTCAGTGTCCATGGAAAACCCCAGCTTCTCCCCTTGGAGGTGGTGCTAGGTGGGTTGTTGCTTTGCTCACAAAAAGGAATCACTACCGAAGAGCATGAGAAGTGTCTGATAAACACCACAGGCAACGATACAAAACAGCAGCAGCAGAATCTGGTAAAAGAAGAGAAAGCTGAATTCCCACAAAGGGCCAGCCTACGAGCCCGATAGTGACCATTTGGTGCCTCTGGAAATGTCCTACACCAGGAGCCCACCATCCCTGGCACAGAGGTGGAATGAGGGATCGATGAACATAGTTCTGATCCAATCCCATCCCTTGAATCTAAGCTCCCTGCACCTGCCTCCCAACCCAAGTGGTTGACATATCTGCCCCAAAAGAATCCATAACTATACCCATTTCCCCCGCCAAACACGCATTGGAAGTCGGAGAGAGATCAGAAAACATTCTGTGTTCTGACAGGCCACCTTTGGGGGCCGTACATCACGTTCCCTAACCACCGGGCCGAGGACAGCTAATACTGATTACACATCCAGAAAAGACGGCAGCGGAAAACCCCAGGGTGATGCACCTGATGGCCAAGCCCGCCCGTCAGAATCAACGTGTGCTAACATCTCTGCAGTGACTCCAGGCCCCACGAGATGGCCCACTCACCGAGTGAGGAGAGAATCACCAGAGCAAGACGGCACGTCCACCCAGGGCCATGCTGCCCACTGCACGGGCCTCCGTGAGCTACAGCACTTGTTTGAAAAAAATGCCATATGGTGTGTTGGGATCTATACTATGTCGGGGGAAGAAACATTCTACAGACTAGGTTGATCCATGTTATTATAAGTAAAATATGGTCCAACCATTGGAAATGTCATCTGGGTCAACCTATGGTAAGCTGGGAAAGATCAGAAAAGGAAGCAAATGGATGAAAACGCTGACCTGCAGTACCCACTGGAGCTTATAACGGAACCCCAGAAGCTGAGAGCAAACAGGATGAAGGTGAGGTGAGCACTGGGCGAGCCCGTGGTCAAATCTCGGAGAGCAGCCCACAAGGAAGGAGCCGAGATGGACAAGTGACTCTCTAGGCAAACAGTGACATTCATTGCAGTTAAAAATGTAGTTCCTCTTCTCAATCTAGGACCACAAAAAGTATAAAAGTGAGATGGCCTGTCCTGGGGCTCCTCGGAAGTCTAAGTATTCCATGTGGAGAAGTTTTCCCTTCCTGATCTTACTGCTCCCCTCCCCTGGGGGGAGGAGCCCATTCCTCTTTACTGTCCTCTGAAGAAATCAATGTGTCATACTTCCTGTCCGGGGAAAGAGGTGTCTATCAATGGAAATGCTACTGAAAGGTGGTGTCTCCTTGGAGAAACCCATGAAGCTCACAGGCTCAGCTCAGCTCCTGGATGAAGACATCAAGCTCCACCCCCACAATCCAGCGACCGTACTGAACAGGGACAAACACGGGGCCGATGCATCCAAATGAGTGTGGATTAGAGAAACAAAACATTTCACCTGGAGAACTTCAAAACCAGAGGCCTGCGTGTGTGTGAGGGCTTTGTTGTTGAGAAATTTTTTAATTTTCTCTTTTCAAACCCAAACCGCAGCAACAGACTCCGACAGCCCCCGCTTCAGACTTGGTACATCATCAGGAACTCATTCCAAAAGCTCTAACTAGATAACTAATTTAATACACTTTGCTTCAAGGTTTATTCCTTGGCAGGCTTCCCAGATACAAAGCATCTCTGGGCAATGATTATGCAGATGCCACTGGAAGAACTTTAAGTGGCGGCCGCTAATTGAACAGGAGAGGGGCTGGCGTTTGCTGGAGATGTGAAAAGGAATGCAAAATGTGCCGAAGGACCCAAAGCCCTTGTTTTTCAAAAGGAAAGATGGGGCATAACTTTCAATGTTTGCCTTTGGGTTTCAACATAAACTTTGGCTAGGAAACTGGATATTAAACCCATTTATTTCCTGCATTCACAAATACTCCTGGAGCACAAGGTGGCAACAGCGGACGGGTTGAAGAGGGGACCATGAGTGATGAGCGCAAAGAGACAGCAGATCTACGGGCTGCCCACACGAGACCTGTCAAGGGCACCCACGCTGCGGCCCACGAGATGAAAGAGACATACTGGCAGTCCATCAAACAATAAAGCAGGCGATTGTTTGATGTCCCTCACAGCAGAATACCCCAAGGATGGACTGTATCTAAGGAAAGAAACCAGTACCTCTCAGCCTGTGGATGATCCAAGTCCTGAGCGCCCGAGTGAGGGCTGTGAGCTCTGTTCCGCTGAAAACACATGGCGTGCTAATAGCTTCCTTTTTCAGAATATAGACCCAAATCCCAGAACCTACAGAGCTCGGCTGAAGTGATTAGACTCCTTGACCGATTCTTTAGACCTGGGTTAGAAGACAGAAGGCCCTCCATCACCAGAGACTCTGAGTCTAACGAAGAGAAAAATCATACCATCTGGCCAGATGTGGAACTGAACTGATTCCTAAGCCAAAGCAGTTCCTGGGGACCTGTGTCCACACCCGTCCGCTGGTGTGTGGTGACGGAAGTTAACAGAAGCACACTCTTCTTTCTGGTTGATCTGATGCCTTCTTTCCTTGTATTTTCAGCCCAAGAACAGACAAAAAAGAAAATGAAAGCAGCAGTGGAAGAAGGCCTGGTAGAACACCACAGTGATCAATTCCGAGAACAAAACAATTTAAAAGTTACATTCAGGAAAAACTAGAGAAGAAAATCCCCCCGAATTCAGCAAGATGGAAAGCGCGTGGAACATCAGTGCACTAACCTAAGAAATTCCGAAGCACAGGGACCAGTGAAGGCCAGGAAGAGAAAACGTGAGGACCGAGCTTCACTGAAGGCAGCGCTGACACCACAAATGACCAGAGTGAGTTGTATGGAGGAAGGAGGGACCGCCACGGGGCTCTGTGCGGGATGAACTCCACCACGTTCGTCATGGGGGCCAGGACCGGGTGGGCTGAGTTTTACTCACAGACCAAAGTCTAGAGACGGCACCGGCACAGCGGGGTCACACTTGGTGTGGCTCCTGGCCAGGGCCCCTGCTGAGTGTCAAGGAGCCCCCATCAGCTTTCTCAAGTGTCTCTTGTATAACTTTTCCAATGACTTGGTGGTTCATGGACGGACAGGATACCCCCTAGCACCTTGACCTTCAGGCCCCCGTCCAGCACACCCATCCTAAACACACACAGGATCAAGGGCCTTCCTGTCTCCTTTTTCTCTTCTCACTCTGGTCCATTAGCTTCTCTCAATCAGGCAAGAAGCCGGGCTGCACAGATGGCCTGGCCCAGGAGCTCCAAGGCCACCAGCCTGGCACCCACCAAGCAAATGAGGAGAAGCTGCAAATACTGAGGGTGCGGCCCCCGGCAAGGAGACACAAGCTCCAGAGCCCAGATTAACGGGTGGTCGAGAAAGAGGCAAACAAAGCTCCCATTCAGCCTGGGCAAGGATTACCGTACTGTCAATGCAGCCTTTCCTCTGGCTGCTCCGGCTGTCACTCAAGGTTGGAGGAGGGACTGGGGGAAGACTACTGAGGGTGAGGACAGAAGGAAGCAGGGAGGAATCATCCTGTCCATCAAGGCTCCCGAGCCCAAAATATAAGAGAAAAGCGTTTTTTCCCTCAGAAAAAAAGGTCTTGGCCCTAATCTTTACATTTTAGGATAAATTCATTTTCTTGCCATCTTTGATTTGGACATGAGCAATTAAGCTGATGAATTTCAGGGTTGGTTACCCATCTGGCTGCAACTTCACCAGAGATGTGTTCCCTTCTGCCTCTGTCCCCCAAATGGTCCACCAGGCGA